TCCAGACCCATCTGGACACAACCCTGAGCCATGTGCTCTAGGGTGGCCCTGCTGGAGTAGGGAGGTTGGACCAGATGACCAACTGTTGGTCCCTTCCAACCTCACTGATTCTGTGATCCCATTTCCTCCACCTCTGGCACAGCCCATGTGCTGGAAGCTGGCAAGATTGCTTACATGAAGAACTAGGAATTCCTTCCCTAGACAAACCCCAGGAGTGCTTTTGTGGTTAGATTGTTCCTGGGTTCATTCCAACAAGCAGCAAGACCACACTAGGTTTTCTCCACCCCCTCCATCAAGCATCACCATACAACACTATTCTGCACTAGTCCTGCTGTCATACTCTGCTGCACCCAGGCCAAGATGCCCTTGGCCTCCTTGGCCACCTGTGCACCCTCTTGGCTCCCACTGAGCTGTGCCACCAGCACTGCCAAGGCCTTTGGGACCAACATCTCTGTCCCCACTGCTCCCCCAGCCTGGAGCTGCATGGGCTGTTGTGTGCCAAGGGCAGGACCAGCACTGAGCCTCAGTGACCCTCATGCAGTTCTCCTCAGCCTATTGATAAAGTCAGTTCAAATCTGTCTGTAGAGCTTTCCTACCCTCAGGCAGATCCACACTCACACCCAACTTAGTGTCCTCTGCAAACTTACTAAGGATGCACTCAATCCTCAATTCCCACGTCCAGATCATCAGTGAAGAGGTTAAACAGAACTGGCCCCAACATTGAGCCCTGGGGAACATCACTAGTGACAGCCCCAACTGCATTTAGCTCTGTATTTATTTATAGTGCAGCTTTTTCCTCTGTCACTGTCATACTTGCCACTGTTTTGCCATAACTTTTCAAACCATTCCAGTGCAGTCACAATTGCCAATACATTCCTACAACCTCTATGAAGCATCAGTGCCTGGAGACAAAGCCCCAAATCCAAGAATTCAGATCTGATGAACTCGCCCCTGTCCTACCAGTGCATACACATTCCAGACTAGCCCAAGCTGCATTCAAGCCCAGCATATGCCAGAGAGAAGACAGGAGGAAATTGAGGCTGCCATGGGATAGAGGAAAGAGGTAGAAAGCACACAAATCTACCCAAAGCTTTGCTTTGGCACTTGGAGGACACCTTTCATTGAATTGGCAATGTAAACCTAGGTAACATGCATTTTTCTAACCATTCTGTGGGTAGCAAAGTTATTTCAGATGACAACACTGACCTGAAGTGTTAATGTATCTTAAATAGTATTGCTTTGAGGAGATAAACATCAAGATGACTCTCAAATGCATTGTCAGAGTGGATTGTAGCCTGAGTAAGCTTTGTCTATGACACTCATAGAATGGGATTTTGCAAAGCTTATCCGGCTACATACAGCAGTTTCAAGGAAAAACCACATCTAAGATCACATACAAAACAATGTTTTTTTAAAATATCATGACATTTTAAAAAAGACTAACAATTTATTTGAAGGAAATGTCACTTCTAAAGCTGTGGAGCTGCAAATACACATCCAATCTGCCATTTCTAGCTCTCTGGAAATTAATGGACTTCAGATACTATCAGATCTAGCACAGTGTCTGATGACATCCAACCTCCAGAGTTACAGAAGGGATATATTTTTCACATCTGCTTGAAATGAGACTTTGCTACATTTATTTCTGAGTTAAAACAAAGGCAAAACCAAACCTGTAAACCACTACTGTAACAGCAGTTAGCAGCAAGAGTGGGTGACAACTGTCAGGCTGCAAACCTAAGTTATGCCCTTTCTTCCTGTCAACTCTTAGTCAGATATGTCAATAAATACAGGAGCTAACACAAAATTCACCACTATAAGAAAATACATCATATGCTACAGTTTGGAGTGAAATCATGGAATCAACTGGGTTGGAAAAGACCTCCAAGATCATCCAGTCCAACCCTACTGTGGTTACTAGACCATGGCACTAAGTGCCACATCCAGTCTCATCCTGAAAACCTCCAGGGATGGGGAATCCACCACCTCCCTGGGCAGCACATTCCAATGCCTGATCACTCTCTCCATAAAAAATCTCTCCCTAATATCCAACCTAACCCTCCCCTGGCAGAGCTTGAGTCTGTGCCCTCTTGTCCTGCTGCTGGTTGCCTGGGAGAAGAGACCAACCCCCACCTGACTCCAACCTCCTGTCAGGGAGGTGAAGAGGGTGGTAAGGTCTCCCCTGAGCCTCCTCCTGCAGTCCTGGCTGCTTAATTTGGAATATAACCTTGCCTGCTTAGAACTAAACAGTTAAACCTTTTCTTTGTGTAGGTGATTACTCTTTTACTCACCATTAGAAAGTTGTTCTGTGATTAATTTTATCTCTATTCAGAGCCTAAATGTGAAAAAAATGACTCAAGTCATTTACTGAAAGAAGATATCATAGGCACCATAATATATATATATCTATATATCTATATATTTTTTCTTTTTAAACAAAATCTAGTGATGAACACGCATTAACAGGATGGAAATTAAAAGGCACATTCAGGCAAAAAAAAAAACCCCAACACAGTGTGCAGGATGCTGCATTTTAAGAAAATCATTTATGCTCTGAATAACAGATTGGATCAGAAACGAATATCCTGGCACATTCCAACCTGTCAGGGAGAAAGTCAGTCTTGTCAGAGCTGTGCAATTCAAACGACAGAATCATGTTTTGATGCTGAATGTTGTTCTCTTCGAAGGTCAGTATAAGGCTTATAACCAAGTGCACATTCAGAAGACTCAGCTCCAAATGTCTTGTTTTCTGAGTGCATAGAAATGCAATGAGCAACGAGGAGATTCCTTGAAAAAAGAGTTAATTCTTCTAGGTGTGCAAATCTCAAGTACTTGAGCGTCTCTCAGGTCTTGGAACGCACTTCATAATCGCAGCTCTCCACAGGGCAGGGGCAAGTAAAAGGCTTAGGGTAGTCACACTCAGAATGAGAAGATAGACCTGCAAAAGGCAAATAAAAGGCATTACTTCTCTGAGTTACATGGTAGTACGAAGTAGTGACTAGAATTCTGAGGAGATCAGACTGGACAGTGTTTTCAAGAGACTTCACCTGTCTCTTCCTAATCAACTTGGCATATTGCTACCAAAGCAAACAAGTGCTCAAACCATCTTATTGCCTGTTTAATGGCTTGAAGATACAATTACAACACCACCATTATGAGCTTACAGAAAAACATTCATAGAGTCATAAAACCACCAAGGTTGGAGGAACCTCTGAGATCATCCAGTCCAACCATTAACCTGTCACTTCTGGAACCCCTAAACCCTAAACCAGATCCTCCAGGGTCAGATCCAGATGCCTCTTCAACACTTCCAGGGATGGTGACTCCACCACCTCCCTGGGCAATATCCCAGTGCCTCAACACCCTAACTTAATTGTTTATATGTATAGTTAAGAGATCAATTTTACAGTTCAGTATTTGCTAAAAGGTCAAAGGCCAAGGATGGATTTTACACTGAAAAAAATGAAACAAAAGTCTCTTCCACTTACACTTCTTGGTCATACAACCTCTCTGGGCAATCTGTTCAGTGCTCAGTGACTGCACAGAGAAGAAGTTCTTCCTCATGTTCAGGTGGAACTGCCTGGGCATCAGGGTCCTGCCCCCGGGGAGGGATAACCCCAAGCACCAGCA